CGAGGTGATGGAAAGCGGGAGAATGGGGCGGGGTGATGGAAAGAGGGAGAATGGGGCGGGGTGATGGAAAGAGGGAGAATGGGGCGGGGTGATGGAAAGAGGGAGAATGGGGCGGGGTGATGGAAAGAGGGAGAATGGGGCGGGGTGATGGAAAGAGGGAGAATGGGGCGGGGTGATGGAAAGAGGGAGAATGGGGCGGGGTGATGGAAAGAGGGAGCATGGGGCGGGGTGATGGAAAGAGGGAGAATGGGGCGGGGTGATGGAAAGAGGGAGCATGGGGCGGGGTGATGGAAAGCGGGAGAATGGGGCGGGGTGATGGAAAGAGTGAGCATGGGTCTGGGTGATGGAAAGCGGGAGAATGGGGCGGGGTGATGGAAAGAGGGAGAATGGGGCGGGGTGATGGAAAGAGGGAGAATGGGGCGGGGTGATGGAAAGAGGGAGAATGGGGCGGGGTGATGGAAAGAGGGAGAATGGGGCGGGGTGATGGAAAGAGGGAGAATGGGGCGGGGTGATGGAAAGCGGGAGAATGGGGCATCGCCATGCAGCTAGGAGCATCGCCATGCAGTTAGGAGCATCGCCTTGCAGCTCGAAGCATTGCCATGCAGCTAGGAGTATCGCCATGCAGCTAGGAGCATTGCCATGCAGCTCGGAGCATCGCAATGCAGCTTGGAGCATCGCCATGCAGCTAGGAGCATAGCCATGCAGCTAGGAGCATCGCCATGCAGCTAGGAGCATCGCCTTGCAGCTAGGAGCATCGCGATGCAGCTAGGAGCATCGCCATGAAGCTAGGAGCATCGCCATGCAGCTAGGAGCATCGCCTGAAGCTAGGAGCATCGCCATGCAGCTAGGAGCATCGCCATGCAGCTAGGAGCATCGCCATGCAGCTAGGAGCATCGCCATGCAGCTAGGAGCATTGCCATGCAGGTAGGAGCATCGCCATGTGAGGATTTGGCGATCACCCAAAAACGTGTCGACTCACCTCACATCTCCACCCATGGTGTCTACTCACATCAAGTCACCCAAAAAGGTGTCGACTCACCTCACATTTCCACCCCATGGTGTCTACTCGCATCACATCACCCAAAAAGTGTCGACTCACCTCATATCTCCACCCCATGGTGTCTATTGACTTCAAGTCACCCAAAAAAAGTGTCGATTCACCTCACTTTTCCACCCCATGGTGTCTACTCGCATCAGGTCAACCAAAAAAATGTCGACTCACCTCACATGTCCACCCCATGGTGTCTACTCACATCACGTCACCCAAAAAAGTGTCGACTCATCTCACATCTCCACCCCATGGTGTCTATTGACTTCAAGTCACCTAGAAAAGTGTCGACTCACCTCACATCTCCACCCCATGGTGTCGCGCTCTCCCGCACTCGCGCTCTGGCGCACACGCGCTCTCGCGCATTTCATAATATATTTTCTAACTTACGGTTTGCGCCGTGTGTCGTTGCTGCGTTGCGCCATAGCGTCGTTGCGCTGTTGTGAAGAAATTATAATATCGAATTTTGTTGCATATTTGGGTGGCCCATGTTCCAATACACCTTCCAGAGAAACTTCAGCTTGGTTCGCGCGCACAGAAATGTTCGGCGCCCACGATGACGGCCGTGCCTGCTGTCAAATGCTAGGGAAGCGCATTGATCCCTATAAGCGTAAAGAAAAGCATCCGACGACCCGAATTTTGTTGCCAATTCGGGTGGCCCATGTTCGAATACACCTACCAGAGCAACTTCAGCTTGGTTCGCGCGCACAGAAAAGTTCGGCGCCCGCGATGACGGCCGTGCCTGCCCACAAATGCTAAGGAAGCGCATTGATCCCTATAAGCATAGGGGAAAGCATCGAACGACCCAAATTTTGTTGCATATTCGTGTGGCCCATATTCAAATACACCTTCCAGAGCAACTTCAGCTTGGTTCGCGTGCACAGAAAAGTTCGGCGCCCGCGATGACGGCCGTGCCTGCCCACAAATGCTAAGGAAGCGCATGGATCCCTATAAGCGTAGGGAAAAGCATCGAATGACCCGAATATTGTTGTATATTCGTGTGGTTCATGTTCAATTACACCTTGCAGAGCAACTTCAGCTCGGTTCGCGTGCACAAAAAAGTTCGGCGCCCGCGATGACAGACGTGCCTGCCGACAAATGCTAAGGAAGTGCATTGATCCATATAAGCGTAGGGAAAAGCATCCGACGACCCGAATTGTGTTGCAAATTTGGGTGGCCCATGTTCAAATACACCTTCCAGAGCATCTTCAGCTTGGTTCGCGCGCACAGAAATGTTCGGCGCCCACGATGACGGCCGTGCCTGCCGTCAAATGCTAGGGAAGCGCATTGATCCCTATAAGCGTAAAGAAAAGCATCCGACGACCCGATTTTTGTTGCCAATTCGGGTGGCCCATGTTCGAATACACCTACCAGAGCAACTTCAGCTTGGTTCGCGCGCACAGAAAAGTTCGGCGCCCACGATGACGGTCGTGCTTGTCGACAAATGCTAGAGAAGCGCATTGATCCCTTTTTGTGTAAAGAAAAACATTCAACGACCCGAATTTTGTTGCCAACTCGGGTGGCCCATGTTCCAATACACCTTCCATAGCAACTTCAGCTTGGTTCGCGCGCACAGAAAAGGTCGGCGCCCACGATGACGGCCGTGCCTGCCGAAAAATGCTAGGGAAGCGCATTGATCCCTATAAGCGTAAAGAAAAGCATCGAACGACCCGAATTTTGTTGCATATTCGGGTGGCCCATGTTCGAATACACCTACCAGAGCAACTTCAGCTCGGTTCGCGCGCAAAGAAAAGTTCGGCGCCCGCGATGACGGCCGTGCCTGCCGAAAAATGCTAGGGAAGCGCATCGATCCCTATAAGCGTAGGGAAAAGCATCGAACGACCCGAGTTTTGTTGCATATTCGGGTGGCCCATGTTCGAATACACCTACCAGAGCAACTTCAGCTCGGTTCGCGCGCAAAGAAAAGTTCGGCGCCCGCGATGACGGCCGTGCCTGCCCACAAATGCTAGGGAAGCGCATCGATCCCTATAAGCGTAGGGGAAAGCATCGAACGACCCGAGTTTTGTTGCATATTCGGGTGGCCCATGTTCGAATACACCTACCAGAGCAACTTCAGCTCGGTTCGCGCGCACAGAAAAGTTCGGCGCCCGCGATGACGGCCGTGCCTGCCCACAAATGCTAGGGAAGCGCATCGATCCCTATAAGCGTAGGGGAAAGCATCGAACGACCCGAGTTTTGTTGCATATTCGGGTGGCCCATGTTCGAATACACCTACCAGAGCAACTTCAGCTCGGTTCGCGCGCACAGAAAAGTTCGGCGCCCGCGATGACGGCCGTGCCTGCCCACAAATGCTAGGGAAGCGCATCGATCCCTATAAGCGTAGGGGAAAGCATCGAACGACCCGAGTTTTGTTGCATATTGGTGTGGCCCATGTTCGAATACACCTACCATAGCAACTTCAGCTCGGTTCGCGCGCACAGAAAAGTTCGGCGCCCGCGATGACGGCCGTGCCTGCCCACAAATGCTAGGGAAGCGCATCGATCCCTATAAGCGTAGGGGAAAGCATCGAACGACCCGAGTTTTGTTGCATATTGGTGTGGCCCATGTTCGAATACACCTACCATAGCAACTTCAGCTCGGTTCGCGCGCACAGAAAAGTTCGGCGCCCCCGATGACGGCCGTGCCTGCCCACAAATGCTAGGGAAGCGCATCGATCCCTATAAGCGTAGGGGAAAGCATCGAACGACCCGAGTTTTGTTGCATATTGGTGTGGCCCATGTTCGAATACACCTACCATAGCAACTTCAGCTCGGTTCGCTCGCACAGAAAAGTTCGGCGCCCGCGATGACGGCCGTGCCTGCCCACAAATGCTAGGGAAGCGCATCGATCCCTATAAGCGTAGGGGAAAGCATCGAACGACCCGAGTTTTGTTGCATATTGGTGTGGCCCATGTTCGAATACACCTACCATAGCAACTTCAGCTCGGTTCGCGCGCACAGAAAAGTTCGGCGCCCGCGATGACGGCCGTGCCTGCCCACAAATGCTAGGGAAGCGCATCGATCCCTATAAGCGTAGGGGAAAGCATCGAACGACCCGAGTTTTGTTGCATATTGGTGTGGCCCATGTTCGAATACACCTACCATAGCAACTTCAGCTCGGTTCGCGCGCACAGAAAAGTTCGGCGCCCGCGATGACGGCCGTGCCTGCCCACATATGCTAAGGAAGCGCATCGATCCCTATAAGCGTAGGGGAAAGCATCGAACGACCCGAGTTTTGTTGCATATTGGTGTGGCCCATGTTCGAATACACCTACCATAGAAACTTCAGCTCGGTTCGCGCGCACAGAAAAGTTCGGCGCCCGCGATGACGGCCGTGCCTGCCCACATATGCTAAGGAAGCGCATCGATCCCTATAAGCGTAGGGGAAAGCATCGAACGACCTGAAGTTTGTTGCATATTGGTGTGGCCCATGTTCAAATATACCTACCATAGAAACTTCAGCTCGGTTCGCGCGCACAGAAAAGTTCGGCGCCCGCGATGACGGCCGTGCCTGCCCACATATGCTAAGGAAGCGCATCGATCCCTATAAGCGTAGGGGAAAGCATCGAACGACCTGAAGTTTGTTGCATATTAGTGTGGCCCATGTTCAAATACACCTTCCAGAGAAACTTCAGCTCGGTTCGCGCGCACAGAAAAGTTCGGCGCCCACGATGACGGCCGTGCCTGCCGACAAATGCTAGGGAAGCGCATTGATCCCTATAAGCGTAAAGAAAAGCATTGAACGACCCGAGTTTTGTTCCATATTCGGGTGGCCCATATTCATATACACCTTCCAGAGCAACTTCAGCTTGGTTCGCGCGCACAGAAAAGTTCGGCGCCCGCGATGACGGCCGTGCCTACCTACAAATGCTAAGGAAGCGCATTGATCCCTATAAGCGTAGGGAAAAGCATCAAACGACCTGAATATTGTTGTATATTTGTGTGGCCCATGTTCAATTACACCTTGCAGAGCGGGAGGACGTTGCACCCCCCGCGCGCTCGCCGGGAGGACGTTGCACCCCCCGCGCGCTCGCCGGGAGGACGTTGCACCCCCCGCGCGCTCGCCGGGAGGTCGTTGCACCCCCCACGCGCTCGTCGGGAGGTCGTTGCAACCCCCGCGCGCTCGCCGGGAGGTCGTTGCAACCCCCTCGCGCTCGTCGGGAGGTCGTTGCACCCCCCGCGCGCTCGCCGGGAGGACGTTGCACCCCCCGCGCGCTCGCCGGGAGGACGTTGCACCCCCCGCGCGCTCGCCGGAAGGTCGTTGCACCTCCCGCGCGCTCGCCGGGAGGACGTTGCACCCCCCGCGCGCTCGCCGGGAGGACGTTGCACCCCCCGCGCGCTCGCCGGGAGGACGTTGCACCCCCCGCCCGCTCGCCGGGAGGACGTTGCACCCCCCGCGCGCTCGCCGGGAGGACGTTGCACCCCCCGCGCGCTCGCCGGGAGCTCGTTGCACCCCCCGCGCGCGCGCCGGGAGCTCGTTGCACCCCCCGCGCGCTCGCCGGGAGCTCGTTGCACCCCCCGCGCGCTCGCCGGGAGGATGTTGCGACCCCCGCGCGCTCGCCGGGAGGTCGTTGCACCTCCCGCGCGCTCGCCGGGAGGACGTTGCACCCCCCGCGCGCTCGCCGGGAGGACGTTGCACCACCCGCGCGCTCGCCGGGAGGACGTTGCACCCCCCGCGCGCTCGCCGGGAGGACGTTGCACCCCCCGCGCGCTCGACGGGAGGACGTTGCACCCCCCGCGCGCTCGCCGGGAGGACGTTGCACCCCCCGCGCGCTCGCCGGGAGGACGTTGCACCCCCCGCGCGCTCGCCGGGAGGTCGTTGCAACCCCCGCGCGCTCGCCGGGAGGTCGTTGCACCTCCCGCGCGCTCGCCGGGAGGACGTTGCACCCCCCGCGCGCTCGCCGGGAGGTCGTTGCACCCCCCGCGCGCTCGCCGGGAGGTCGTTGCACCCCCCTCGCGCTCGCCGGGAGGTCGTTGCACCTCCCGCGCGCTCGCCGGGAGGTCGTTGCACCCCCCGCGCGCTCGCCGGGAGGACGTTGCACCCCCCGCGCGCTCGCCGGGAGGACGTTGCACCCCCCGCGCGCTCGCCGGGAGGACGTTGCACCCCCCGCGCGCTCGCCGGGAGGACGTTGCACCCCCCGCGCGCTCGCCGGGAGGTCGTTGCACCCCCCGCGCGCTCGCCGGGAGGACGTTGCACCCCCCGCGCGCTCGCCGGGAGGACGTTGCACCCCCCGCGCGCTCGCCGGGAGGACGTTGCACCCCCCGCGCGCTCGCCGGGAGGACGTTGCACCCCCCGCGCGCTCGCCGGGAGGACGTTGCACCCCCCGCGCGCTCGCCGGGAGGACGTTGCACCCCCCGCGCGCTCGCCGGGAGGACGTTGCACCCCCCGCGCGCTCGCCGGGAGGACGTTGCACCCCCCGCGCGCTCGCCGGGAGGACGTTGCACCCCCCGCGCGCTCGCCGGGAGGACGTTGCTCCCCCCGCGCGCTCGCCGGGAGGACGTTGCACCCCCCGCGCGCCGCGCGCTCGCCGGGAGGTCGTTGCAACCCCCTCGCGCTCGTCGGGAGGACGTTGCACCCCCCGCGCGCTCGCCGGGAGGACGTTGCACGCCCCGCGCGCTCGCCGGGAGGACGTTGCACCCCCCGCGCGCTCGCCGGGAGGTCGGTGCACCCCCCGCGCGCTCGCCGGGAGGACGTTGCACCCCCCGCGCGCTCGCCGGGAGGACGTTGCACCCCCCGCGCGCTCGCCGGGAGGACGTTGCTCCCCCCGCGCGCTCGCCGGGAGGACGTTGCACCCCCCGCGCGCCGCCGCTCGCCGGGAGGTCGTTGCAACCCCCTCGCGCTCGTCGGGAGGTCGTTGCACCCCCCGCGCGCTCGCCGGGAGGTCGTTGCACGCCCCGCGCGCTCGGCGGGAGGACGTTGCACCCCCCGCGCGCTCGCCGGGAGGACGTTGCACCCCCCGCGCGCTCGCCGGGAGCACGTTGCACCCCCCGCGCGCTCGCCGGGAGGACGTTGCACCCCCCGCGCGCTCGCCGGGAGCACGTTGCACCCCCCGCGCGCTCGCCGGGAGCACGTTGCACCCCCCGCGCGCTCGCCGGGAGCACGTTGCACCCCCCGCGCGCTCGCCGGGAGCACGTTGCACCCCCCGCGCGCTCGCCGGGAGGACGTTGCACCCCCCGCGCGCTCGCCGGGAGGACGTTGCACCCCCCGCGCGCTCGCCGGGAGGACGTTGCACCCCCCGCGCGCTCGCCGGGAGGACGTTGCTCCCCCCGTGCGCTCGCCGGGAGGACGTTGCACCCCCCGCGCGCCGCGCGCTCGCCGGGAGGTCGTTGCAACCCCCTCGCGCTCGTCGGGAGGACGTTGCACCCCCCGCGCGCTCGCCGGGAGGACGTTGCACGCCCCGCGCGCTCGCCGGGAGGACGTTGCACCCCCCGCGCGCTCGCCGGGAGGTCGGTGCACCCCCCGCGCGCTCGCCGGGAGGACGTTGCACCCCCCGCGCGCTCGCCGGGAGGACGTTGCACCCCCCGCGCGCTCGCCGGGAGGACGTTGCTCCCCCCGCGCGCTCGCCGGGAGGACGTTGCACCCCCCGCGCGCCGCCGCTCGCCGGGAGGTCGTTGCAACCCCCTCGCGCTCGTCGGGAGGTCGTTGCACCCCCCGCGCGCTCGCCGGGAGGTCGTTGCACGCCCCGCGCGCTCGGCGGGAGGACGTTGCACCCCCCGCGCGCTCGCCGGGAGCACGTTGCACCCCCCGCGCGCTCGCCGGGAGCACGTTGCACCCCCCGCGCGCTCGCCGGGAGCACGTTGCACCCCCCGCGCGCTCGCCGGGAGCACGTTGCACCCCCCGCGCGCTCGCTGGGAGCACGTTGCACCCCCCGCGCGCTCGCCGGGAGCACGTTGCACCCCCCGCGCGCTCGCCGGGAGCACGTTGCACCCCCCTCGCGCTCGCTGGGAGGACGTTGCACCCCCCTCGCGCTCGTCGGGAGATCGTTGCAATCCCCGCGCGCTCGCCGGGAGGTCGTTGCACCCCCCGCGCGCTCCCCGGGAGGACGTTGCACCCCCCGCGCGCTCCCCGGGAGGACGTTGCACCCCCCGCGCGCTCGCCGGGAGGACGTTGCACCCCCCGCGCGCTCGCCGGGAGGACGTTGCACCCCCCGCGCGCTCGCCGGGAGGTCGTTGCACCCCCCGCGCGCTCGCCGGGAGGACGTTGCACCCCCCGCGCGCTCGCCGGGAGGTCGTTGCAACCCCCGCGCGCTCGCCGGGAGGACGTTGCACCCCCCGCGCGCTCGCCGGGAGGACGTTGCACCTCCCGCGCGCTCGCCGGGAGGTCGTTGCACCCCCCGCGCGCTCGCCGGGAGGACGTTGCACCCCCCGCGCGCTCGCCGGAGGACGTTGCACCCCCCGCGCGCTCGCCGGGAGGACGTTGCACCCCCCGCGCGCTCGCCGGGAGGACGTTGCACCCCCCGCGCGCTCGCCGGGAGCTCGTTGCACCCCCCGCGCGCTCGCCGGGAGCTCGTTGCACCCCCCGCGCGCTCGCCGGGAGCTCGTTGCACCCCCCGCGCGCTCGCCGGGAGGACGTTGCACCTCCCGCGACCCCCCGCGCGCTCGTCAGGAGGACGTTGCGCCCCCCGCGCGCTCGCCGGGAGGTCGTTGCAACCCCCTCGCGCTCGTCGGGAGGTCATTGCACCCCCCGCGCGCTCGCCGGGAGGACGTTGCACCTCCCGCGCGCTCGCCGGGAGGACGTTGGACGCCCCGCGCGCTCGCCGGGAGGACGTTGCACCCCCCGCGCGCTCGCCGGGAGGACGTTGCACCCCCCGCGCGCTCGCCGGGGGCTCGTTGCACCCCCCGCGCGCTCGCCGGGGGCTCGTTGCACCCCCCGCGCGCTTGCCGGGGGCTCGTTGCACCCCCCGCGCGCTCGCCGGGAGGACGCTGCACCCCCCGCGCGCTAGCCGGGAGGACGTTGCACCCTCCGCGCGCTCGCCGGGAGGACGTTGCACCCCCCGCGCGCTCTCCGGGAGGACGTTGCACCCCCCGCGCGCTCGTCGGGAGGACGTTGCACCCCCCGCGCGCTCGCCGGGAGGTCGTTGCACCCCCCGCGCGCTCGCCGGGAGGACGTTGCACCCCCCGCACGCTCCCCGGGAGGACGTTGCACCCCCCGCACGCTCGACGGGAGGACGTTGCACCCCCCGCGCGCTCGCTGGGAGGACGTTGCACCCCCCGCGCGCTCGCTGGGAGCACGTTGCACCCCCCGCGCGCTCGCCGGGAGCACGTTGCACCCCCCGCGCGCTCGCCGGGAGCACGTTGCACCCCCCGCGCGCTCGCCGGGAGGACGTTGCACCCCCCTCGCGCTCGTCGGGAGGTCGTTGCAACCCCCACGCGCTCGTCGGGAGGTCGTTGCACCCCCCGCGTGCTCGCCGGGAGGACGTTGCACCTCCCGCGCGCTCGCCGGGAGGACCTTGCACCCCCCGCGCGCTCGCCGGGAGGACGTTGCATGCCTGGGACCAGGCACCCACCAGATGGCACTGCGTCCTTCCACTGCTCCACTGCGTGTCCCTTTGCCGTCTCCTCCAGTGTCCTCTCTTCCTGCTCTTGCTGACCCGGAGTCTGACTCCCTTCGGGCTGCCAGTCCTACTGTCACGCGTCTCCTGGCTACTGTTGTCACTGACCCTTCCTTTGAGTCCACTGCTGCGTCTGCCTTAGTCGACTTCGCTGCTCACTGTCGTCTAGACTACGCTGCTAGTCTTGTTGCTGAGTCTGAGTCTGTCTCTCCTCCGTCCGTCGGGGGTGAGTGTGCTCTTGGCACGGACGTCCTTGAGGACAGGCAGGAGGAGTTCCAGTGCTTTGCTGCTGCTTTACCTCATCTCGTGTCCATGCTGCTTGCCCCTGAGGGAGACCCGGATGCACCAGACATCCCGACTCCGTGCTCTTACGCAGAGGCGATAGAGGGTCCCTACTCCTCTCAGTGGCAGACAGCCATGGACGCAGAGATGGCTTCCTGGAAGTCCACAGGCACCTACGTTGACGAGGTACCCCCACCTGGGGTGAACATCGTCAGTGGCATGTGGATTTACAGGGTGAAGCGGCCGTCGGGTTCTCCGCCTGTGTTCAAGGCGCGGTACGTGGCTCGAGGCTTCAGTCAGCGGCAGGGAGTTGACTACTTTCAGACCTTCTCTCCCACCCCGAAGATGACCACTCTTCGGGTGCTGCTGCACATAGCCGCTCAGCGTGACTACGAGCTTCACTCTCTTGACTTCAGCACTGCTTTCCTACAGGGCAACCTGCACGAGGAGATCTGGCTGCACCGCCCTCCTTGCTTCACTGGGTCGTTTCCTCCTGGTACCCAGTGGAGCCTCCGGCGGCCAGTCTACAGTCTCTGCCAGGCTCCCCGTGAGTGGCACGACACACTGAGGACTACGCTTGCGGCTCTTGGGTTTGCTCCTTCTACCGCTGACCCGTCGCTGTTTCTACGCACCGACACTTCGCTGCCGCCGTTCTACATCCTCGTGTACGTCGACGACATGGTCTTTGATACTGCTGACACTGCTGGACTCGCCCACGTGAAGTCGGAGCTGCAGAAGAGACACACGTGCACAGACCTGGGTGAGCTGCGTAGCTATCTTGGCTCGCAGATCACCCGGGACAGAGCACGGCGCACCATTACCCTGACTCAGTCACACATGGTGCAGCAGGTCCTTCAGCGCTTCAACTTCACGTACTCCTCGCCTCAAGCCACTCCTCTGTCTACTCGCCACTCGCTCTCAGCTCTGCCTTCGGATGAGTCCGTAGAGCCGAGTGGCCCGTACCCAGAGCTTGTTGGCTGCCTCATGTACCTGATGACCTGCACTCGACCTGACCTGGCATACCCTCTTAGCATCCTGGCACGCTATGTTGCTCCTGGGAGACACCGACCAGAGCACATGGATGCAGCTAAGAGGGTGTTGCGCTACTTGTGCAGTACGTCGGGCATGGGGCTCGTGCTTGGAGGGCGGAGTTCAGTGGTACTCACTGGTCACGCAGACGCGTCTTGGGTTGACGACTTGGCTACGCAGCGGTCGTCACAGCCTTGGTTCCGGCTCTGTTTCGTGGCGGTCTACCCGCTCGTCGTCTGTTCTCAGCTCCAGCTGTGAGGCTGAGATCTACGCAGGGGCCATGGCTGCACAGGAGTTACGCTGGCTCACCTACCTCCTGACTGACCTGGGAGAGCCGCCTCGTTCTCCTCCAGTTCTGTACGTACACATTCTCCCTCTTTCCATCACCCCGCCCCATTCTCCCGCTTTCCATCACCCCGCCCCATTCTCCCTCTTTCCATCACCCCGCCCAATTCTCCCGCTTTCCATCACCCCGCCCCATTCTCCCGCTTTCCATCAACCCGCCCCATTCTCCCGCTTTCCATCACCCCACCCCATTCTCCCTCTTTCCATCACCCCGCCCCATTCTCCCTCTTTCCATCACCCCGCCCCATTCTCCCTCTTTCCATCACCCCGCCCCATTCTCCCGCTTTCCATCACCCCGCCCCATTCTCCCTCTTTCCATCACCCCGCCCAATTCTCCCGCTTTCCATCACCCCGCCCCATTCTCCCGCTTTCCATCAACCCGCCCCATTCTCCTGCTTTCCATCACCGCGCCCCGTTCTCCCTCTTTCCATATCTTTACCAAGGCACTTCAGCCTTGTGATCATCAGCGCTTTTGTACGATTCTAGGTCTTGTGCCTACTTGGCCTCACTTGCTCACTTCTTGACCTTGCTTGTACTGTGATCTATCTATACCTGCACTTGCTTTTTTACCTTTATATATATAAACATGCATGTGAACTGGCCTTGTGGCCTTGAACTTGTGCTCGGAATGTGTGGTGACGTTGTGATCCACCCTGAGCTTGCTGTGCTTTGCTTGACTGGTCTTGTGACCTCTTGTTCTCCCCCACTTTGCCTATGGGGGTGTGTCAAACATTTATCATTTAGCTTGTCTAGGCTATAGTGGGGTAGACACTAAGGGGTACAGCTTCCTAGGGTTTCCTACTTGTACCCAACCTTGTTCTAGTTCATTCATTCCTCATTCTTCACAGCGAGTACGCGACTGCGCGGAGCGCGAGTGCTCAAGAGCGCGAGTGCGCGAGAGCACGAGAGCGCGAGTGCGCGACAGCGTGAGTTCGCGACAGCGTGAGGGCGCGTATACGAGACTGCGCGAGTGCGCGAGAGCGCGACTGCGAGACAGCGCTAGTGCGCGACAGTGCAAGTGCGCGACAGCACGACAGCGCGCGTGCGCGAGCGAGCAAGTGCGCGACAGCGCGAGTGCGCGAGAACGCGCACGGCGCAACAGTATAACCGCAAGGTATCGTTTCCTAGACACGATGTTTGTGCCTTGTCACGATGTGTTTGAATATGCTTATAGAATATTATCGAACAATCTAGTTTCTAAATTACAGGTTAAAATAATTCTGATGCATCTTTTCAGATTGTGTAATTTTATAGAAAGTTGTTTGATTACTACATACATTATTCATTATATTATCTTGCTCACGATGCTCACGATGTCACGCTGCTCACGATGTCACGATGCTCACGATGTCACGATGCTCACGATGTCACGATGCTCACGATGCTCATGATGTCACGATGCTCACGATGTCACGAATGAAGAGCGTCCGCTGCACTTACTGCACATGTGCGGGTCCTTACGCGTTTTGGGGGTACTAGCGCTCGCTCCGAGAGTTTTTCTTTAACCGGGTCACGTGGCTGAGCCAAGCGCAGCCACGTGACTTGGCGGAAGGAAAACGCTTGGAACGAGCGCTTCCATCCCCAAAACGCGGAAGGATCCGCACACGTGCAGAAAGTGCAGCGGGCGCTCTTCATTCGCGAGCGCCGATGACCGATGATGCTCGCAACCCTCCCACGCCCTTGCTGGCTTGGCAAGAGGACCAGACAAGCGCAGCCACGTGACTTGGCGGAGGAAAAACGCCTGGAATGAGCGCTTCTACCCCCAAAATGCCGAAGGATCCGCATTCGTGCAGGAAGTGCAGCGGGCGCTCTTCATTCGCGAGCGCCGATGACCGATGATGCTTGCAACCCTCCCACGCCCTTGCTGGCTTGGCAAAAGGACCAGACAAGCGCAGCCACGTGACCTGGTTAAAGAAAAACTCTCGGAACGAGCGCTAGTACCCCCGAAACGCGTAAGGACCCGCACATGTGCAGGAAGTGCAGCGGGCGCTCTTCATTCGCGAGCGCCGATGACCGATGATGCTCGCAACCCTCCCACGCCCTTGCTGGCTTGGCAAGAGGACCAGACAAGCGCAGCCACGTGACCCGGCGGAAGAAAAACGCTCGGAACGAGCGCTTTCACCCCCAAAACGCGGAAGTATCCGCACACGTGCAGGAAGTGCAGCGGGCGCTCTTCATTCGCGAGCGCCGATGACGGATGATGCTCGCAACCCTCCCACGCCCTTGCTGGCTTAGCAAGAGGACCAGACAAGCGCAGCCACGTGACTTGGCGGAGGAAAAACGCTTGGAATGAGCGCTTCTACCCCCAAAATGCCGAAGGATCCGCATTCGTGCAGGAAGTGCAGCGGGCGCTCTTCATTCGCGAGCGCCGATGACCGATGATGCTCGCAACCCTCCCACGCCCTTGCTGGCTTGGCAAGAGGACCAGACAAGCGCAGCCACGTGACCCGGCGGAAGAAAAACGCTCGGAACGAGCGCTTTCACCCCCAAAACGCGGAAGTATCCGCACATGTGCAGGAAGTGCAGCGGGCGCTCTTCATTCGCGAGCGCCGATGACCGATGATGCTCGCAACCCTCCCACGCCCTTGCTGGCTTGGCAAGAGGACCAGACAAGCGCAGCCACGTGACCCGGCGGAAGAAAAGCGCTCGGAACGAGCGCTTTCACCCCCAAAACGCTGAAGTATCCGCACACGTGCAGGAAGTGCAGCGGACGCTCTTCATTCGCGACCGCCGATGACGGATGATGCTCGCAACCCTCCCACGCCCTTGCTGGCTTGGCAAGAGGACCAGACAAGCGCAGCCACGTGACTTGGCGGAGGAAAAACGCTTGGAATGAGCGCTTCTACCCCCAAAATGCCGAAGGATCCGCATTCGCGCAGGAAGTGCAGCGGGCGCTCTTCATTCGCGAGCGCCGATGACCGATGATGCTTGCAACCCTCCCACGCCCTTGCTGGCTTGGCAATAGGACCAGACAAGCGCAGCCACGTGACCTGGTTAAAGAAAAACTCTCGGAACGAGCGCTAGTACCCCCAAAACGCGTAAGGACCCGCACATGTGCAGAAAGTGCAGCGGGCGCTCTTCATTCGCGAGCGCCGATGACCGATGATGCTCGCAACCCTCCCACGCCCTTGCTGGCTTGGCAAGAGGACCAGACAAGCGTAGCCACGTGACCCGGCGGAAGAAAAACGCTCGGAACGAGCACTTTCACCCCCAAAACGCGGAAGTATCCGCACACGTGCAGGAAGTGCAGCGGACGCTCTTCATTCGCGAGCGCCGATGATCGATGATGGTCGCAATGTTAGAAACTGAGAGAGAACGAGAATGAATGAACTAGCAGAAAGTTGGGTACAAGTAGGAAACCCTAAGTTTGTTGTACCCCTTAAGGCTAAACCCACTATAGCCTACACAATGTAAACATATAATGTTTGACACACCCCCATAGGCTAAGTGGGGGAGAGCAAGGGGTCACAAGACCAGTCAAAGCAAGGCAAAGCAAAACAAGCTCAGGGTGGATCTCAAGGATACCACACAAATTCCGAGCACAAGCAAGTGGTCACAAGACCAGTTCACATGCAGTTTGATAATAGAACAAGAGGTACAGTGATCACAACCTAGCAGGTATATATATAGAGATCACAGTACAAGCAGAGTCAAGAAGTGAACAAGTGAGGGACAGTAGGCACAAGGCCTAGAACAG